ATGCAATTTTTCAGAAAGTGCAGGAGATGAACACAACAGTCTGAACTTCCCTATTAGCCCTTTGATGAAACTTTGAAACAAAGAGCACTTTTTATGAGGCAATACTTCAAACACATCGTATTGCAAAATTATTCATGCAACGTTTTTTTTTTTTCACATGTTGCAAACTTTAATGCATTCTAATCTGGCCTAATGTAATAGACCATCACAAAGTAGTGCAGAAAGTAAAATGTAAATTATACATGGTTTTTCACATGTTTTACAAAGACGAATCTGAAAAGTGTGGGGTGCTTTTGTATTCAGCTCCCTTTTGACTTTGTTACCCCTAAATTAAATGCACTAGATGTTGCCCATTTAGAGATAAGTTGTGTGCAATTTAATTTTAGCATAAATACAGCTGTTCCGTGAAGGACGTTGAGATTTGTCAGAGAACAACACGGCATTGCAACAACCAAGGAGCATGCAAGATTGATCAGGGATAAAGTTGGGGGGGGAATCTTAAGCTGTGAACCTTTCAATCGGATCATCTTATGCTATTTTTTTCCGATATGCATTAATCAAAGAAGCAGCCAAGCTAATTATGGTAGCTCTGAAAAAGCTTGCAGATGCTTCCTATCCAATCGGATTAAGCTTGAACTATTCTCCAAGAACATATCTAGATTTAGAAGGCTGATAGGGACATTCCCCCAAAAGACTTACAGCTGTGATTACAGAGCAATGCGGTTCTAGAACGGACTGACTCATGGGGATTTAATGCAAATGCACAAAATTTATCAGATTGTTCTTTGCAAAGAAATATTGAAAACCATGTATCATTGCCTTATTTGTCACAGTTATGCATAGTGTTGGTCGATCATTTAAAATCCCAGTGAAGGAAAATGGAGACTGCGGTGGCAACATGGCAAAAGGTAAAAAAATGAAAGTCACGCACATATTTTTGATTCTGCAAACCAAAAGGAGGACCCTGGTCTACAAAAGCAGATTTAAGATTGTTTTTATAGAAATCAGTTTGATTTCCATCGTCTTCCTTTCTGCCTCTGTTGCAAAACTGCAGCTCCAGATCCGTTTCAGCCAACTGTTAAAAACTGCACAACTCTTCAGCCTTTACCACCTTTAACATTGTTAGGACACCTTGATGCTTTAGCCAGCCAGACTGAGAAGTGTCAGCTGTGTGAAGCCAAATAAATTATTTACACCACCTCCCTTTGACTTCAAAGAGCTGACAACACACTCAACCCCAGATTTCGGTAAGGGGGTTGGAGGAGGAGCTCCCAGTCACTAGGCAACATCCATGTCACCTGTCCCAACATGCAACAATCAGTATTTTTATTTATTTATATTTTAAACTGCCAATGTTCCAGAGGTAAAATATCACTGAGACATAGCTAGATGTGTAGTGCTGGAAAAATGTATTACCCACCTGGTGGACTTTTTCTTTTTTCATTTTTTTGTCTCACAAATGTTTCACCAACCACATTTTTTGATACAAATATAACCTGAGTAAGTACAGAGATCCGTTTTAAATTTTTTCTGCTTATTAAAGGAAAAAATGCTCTCCAAAGTTCAGAACCTTCCTTCGAATCGCTGTACTACCAAAATATCTCCAAGAGTGAATCATCAACTCATTCAAGAATTCACTGAAGAAGAAAAACAACCTGAACAAAATCTAATGTACTGCAGGCCTAAATATCCTCTGTTGGTGTAATTGTTTATAATTGAGCAGTAATAAAGAGACTGGGCAAAACTGGCATAAATAGGAGACTTCCAAGAATAAAAAACCGCTGCTGCCCAAAAAAGAGCGCAAAAACTCGTCTCACATTTGCTAAAACATCTCACTGATCCTCAGAACTATAAGGGAAATATTTGATCGACTGAAAAAACAAAAGTGGAACTTGTGTAAAATATGGTTACATCTAGTGTAAAATGAATTATTAAAAAAAAAAAAACATAATATTGAGAAAAAAATGTTGTGCAGAGTCATCTCGTACTCTTGAGCTGCTTCCATGCTTCAGAACCTGGTCAACTTTTCATAATTAATAAAAATACAGATTTTGAGCTCTGCTAGAAATGTAGTAATGAAGGAGATTGTTTGACCATCAATTGGTGGCCTTAAGCTCAGGTGCATTGGGGTAAGACTTTTATCTGAAGCACACAAATTTCATTTTTAATGAATGAAACAAACTCTTTTTGAGTGGCCTAGTAAAGTTTGAACCTTAACATGTGGCATGACATTAAACTGGCCATTCATCTTCCGAAACCATGTGGCTGAATTTAAACAATTTAAACAAATTCAGCCACATCTGAAAATATTTTTTTGTAGAACTGTAAGTAATTCAATAACAATTTGAAAACTGTGTTTTTCTATTTATAGTCAACTGATAAGAGGTGTTACCACTGTTTAAACAGATCTTGGGTCACTGCTTTCTCTGAAGTGAAGAAAAGGGAAGATCACAGCATACTGACCAAATGTCAAGTGGATACACAAGGTGACTGTTCAGCTAGAAAATCAGGAAGTTCGGCTTGAGCAACATGTCCACACTGTGAACCCTGCCTGTCCAGAGGGAGCTGCTGTTTATTTCCCCCCCTGCCAACACAAACACGCAGGCAAGGTTAACAAAAACCACTCCAAATAGGGGAAAAAACCTTAGCTGCCATGGTAAAGTAGGCGCGCTCAAACGTGCCTTCTTCACAAAATATTTACACATACAGAAACCTTTTCCTCTATGACACATCACTTCTCATCTGACAAACTCAGCTTTTCTTCTTTAAAAAATTCCCCCCTCATTGGCAATGAGGAAAAATAATGACAGCTCTTGTTAATTTAATCACACTCTCATAGATGCAAAACCCAATTTACTCATTTACTGGTAGCATTGAAGGCAGCCCACTTAACACACTTCAGGTGAAGGGAGGGAGAGATGAGACATAAATCTTTTATCTTCTCTCCTGGATACACACTGATACCGAGGTGTCCCTCTTAGCCTGTTTGATCAGGTTGTGCACAGATTCAATGTGTGTGTGGACATGTGGGAAACCTGGTCATGCGTGACAACAGCAAATGACCACCTATCTGTCATTGGCGCCAGGGCCGGAGATTAACGTGAGCTCAGGCTTGGCACCAGCTGGACCAGAGCCTGGAAAAAAAAATAAAAAATAGACAGCACTTGATACAGACCTGCAGCAAATGTTCAGTTCTTTGGTTTGAGAGAAAAGAGGATTTATGTTTAAATACATTGTGAAGACATTCAGGGAAGACTTTTGAATTAAGTCCTAGAGGTTTTGTGGGAAAAACCCAGATGAGAAAAAAAATTCCCCCAGCTTATAGAAATGAAGAAAATCCCTCCAGCTAATTTCTAATAGCGAACTCTTTACATTCTCTCTCCTTCCGCCGTTTTACTGTATGTCTTCTGTTTCATTTTGCCTTTCTGTTAGTATGCGGCTTTTGGGTCTCTGACTTATACAGAGAGAACAGCGAGCTACCACAGGAAGACACACTGTTGTGTCGAGCAGTTGCTGTGGGTGGGCTGAAAAAAAAAAGACAGAAGTAATTGCAAGCGTCCCACCCTGCTTAGCCTGCGTCTAGACTGGCCTCGGTGAAGCAACTGGCAGTCATAACAAGGGATTGGGAAAGCAAACAGGGTTGTTCGGCACAGTTAACAGTCCTACGGAGTTACAACCAAAATATGAAAGCTCACATTTAATTGGGGCAAAACAAAGAGCTCAAAGAGTAGCATGCAATTATGAGATATACAAAGAGACATAGTATTAGGTGTGTGCCAGCACACCAGAAGACCATCTCTCCAGATTGGCATTGGGCACCTGCAACTGTCAACGAGCAATGTGCCAAGACTGTTGGCCTACTTACGAGCCATTCTCTCGTCAATGTTAGACTGAAGAAGGAGACATGCTCACTTTCCCCAAATCAAACCCTCCATTCAGCCAAACACATCTCAATGTGTGTCATCAGCGATGCAGTTTTCAAACTGAGCCCTCTGGCTATCAACACAAGTGGATAATTGAGCCAAGGGGGTTTGCTTTAAAAAGCAAGCTGAGTTTAAAAAAAAATTTGAACAATCAGCTAGGACTATTTTTACAGTGCTGCTCTCATTTCCCTCCTTGTTACTCACGATGCTGCTAAAGATGCCTCTGTTGACAGTGTGGAAAAAGCTAACTGTGGTGATGACATTCCCAACATGACCTCAATCAAGCATTTTCTCAGCCTGGAGTCACAAAACAATTCCAACAACTTTGCTACCAAAGTGTCTTTACCCTCATTTCACAATGAACGCTATTATATTAGGGGATTGATTTTCTAGCCTAACTGGGAGTCAGGCAGCAGGCTAAATGACTGCTATTTTGAAATAGTGTAAACCTTTTGTTAATTTACTGCTCACAGCCAACAGGCAGATTCTGTAACTACTCATTATATATGTTGGCTAGGACTATTTGCAATGAGACATCTTAGTTTTTAGCGATCAAAATTCTTAACTCAGCTCCTTTGCTTTTACGATGTCATTTACTTTATGGTGGCATCAGAGTTGATGTCCAAATAAAGGTAAAAGCCAAAGTTGTACTTAAACTTCTCAGCAGCACTTCCAAGGGTGTGTTCTCCTTTTACCTTCAATATAATTGAATGCACCATATGATGAATGTTAAGGGAGGTAAAAGAAACAAAGCTCACTGTTGAAGAAGTGCAGCAAAAAGTGACACCTTGGACTCACTAAGTGTCGCAAAACAAGCCATTAGGAGTCAATAGTCACCTGCGAGGCTTGCAGGAAAAAAGCTGTTTCTATCCAACCATGAAAAATGTAAATGTGTGGGGTTTGCTAAACTCCATCAGGACTTTTCTTGGAATTGTTTGCTTGGTCTGGTGAGAATAAATAACACACATTCTGTGTGGAACACCTTATTTTAAAAAAAAAGTTTTTCTTTTTTTTTTTATAAGTGGCCTTTTTTTTTTTTCTAAAAAATGGCCACCGGAATTAAAGTATGTGTCATCACTAGATTTTGGAGCAGAGCAAAGACTGAAAAAAACATGATCAAATGAACATAGACAAGATTCACCAGACACAAAATTCAACCTTTATCTAGAGAAATCTCACTGTCAAGTCCTGGATCCTATGAAAATGAACTGAACAGAAATGAGAACAAGCAAGAACTATCAACGATCCAGAACCATGGTTCTCAAACGAGTTGTATTTGGGCTGCTGTTAGTTGTTTCTCACAAGAAATGCCTAATAATGCCTTCCATTATTCTGCAACAGCTTTATTTAACCAGGAAAAGCTCACGTCTAGTAAAAACATGTTTTTCATGAGGAAATTAACTTCAGTGTGTAATGTAGTTTAAAAATAGCTACAGCCATAAAGACAAGTTGGTCAATAACATCAATCCAAAAAAACAATGGGGAAAAAAAAAAAAAAAGTTTAAAATGAAGGTAGCCATATTGGATTCTGAGGCCAAGCCTAGTGAAAAATATCTGATTTGTCCCCTCACCCCCACCCTGACTTTTACTGACAATAGGAAGCGCTAAGCAATGAATAGAAAGGCAGGCCACACTTCTATCCAGGCCATTTTTATTGATCGTCAAAACCCCCTTTCACAAAGACCACCAAAAAAAAAAAAAAAAAAATGAGAATAACATAAACAACCAATAAATAAAAATCTGCATGATTAAGGCGGTTCTACATCTCCAATAGAACACAGACAGTGTGGACATGTTGGAGTTTTACAGCTTCATACAGTACAAGCAGTAGATTTTGTTTTTAGAACATCACATCTTAAAAAGGCCACACTTTACCAAAAGTTAAGCATTTTAATTGAAAGTGTGCATTTCATCACTAATGATCCACTGTATCACTTTTGTGATTAATATAAAATGAGCATTGCTTTCTTTAATGAAACAATTTTAATAGTAAGCCAAACAGAATAGGAAAGTTCATGAGTAGAGAACTTAAATTTCCATATTCCTACCCAAACTTGTTTAAAAAAAAAAAAGAAAAAAAAAAAACACTTGGATCCCAAGAACAGAGAAGGTGGCTCTTCTGTATATCAGTTTTCTCAGATAGGAATAAATAAATACACCTTTTTTACTGGTAAACTGTCAGAGTCCAGACGTAGAGGCTACATAGTGTCATAGTATTGTTCAGTGGCTTTTGAGATTTTAAGGATTTCTTAGTTACATTCATGTCCAGGATGGTGAACGGTCTCCAGCCACAACCAAACACAAGCTGTGGATATCCAGAGTTCTCTTTTGCACATCCAGCACTGCAACTTCAGTTTAGTTGTACTGGTCTGTGTTCATGAAATTAAAAGCAAACCAACAGCTTCTCTCCATCCTTCCTGGACAATGCTTACACCTCCTCCTCCAAGTGTGGCCCAACGCAAACAAAGGTCCTTTCAGCAGCTAACAGTGCTAGGTTGCTGCTTGCTCACAAAGTCTGAGATAAAATCAAACTCATTTTGGCCCAGAAAGAGTTCTGGTAACTCCTGGACCCGGTCCAAGCCCAGTTCCATGACTAGTGACGTCAAGACATCCTCGTCAATCATATCCGCGTCCATTCCATTTAGGGCCAGTGCCGGTCCGGCCATGTGCTGCATGCTCGCCAGCTGAGCTGGGTTCATGCGGTACTGGTTTGTAGGCCCCATGTGGTTCCCACCCATAGGTCCCAGTGGGTGTCCATGGTACTGGGTGTTTAGCTTCTGCAGGTGCATGCTGGCCATGAGCTGCTGAGATGTTAACCCTCCATTCATGAACTGCTGTTGTTGCTGCTGCTGCTGCTGCGGATGCGGCGCCTGCTGTTGATGCTGCTGTGGGTGCATATGATGCTGCTGCTGCTGAGGGTGGTGATGCTGCTGCTGTTGCTGAGGCTGTCCATTGTACATCATGTTACTGGAGGTCATCTGGTGATGACCCATCTGGGGTGCGTTGAGCTGTCCGTTCATGGGCCCACCGACCATGCCCTGGCGCTGCCTAATGGCTGCCTCCATGCTGGCCTGGTTGCCTCCGTAGTGCATCATCTGGCCGTTGGGAAGCGCCCTCATGCCCGGCTGGTTGGCGTGCGGTTGGTGACCCGCCTGCAGGCCGCCATTCATGCCCATTCTGTAACCGTGGAGACCAGTGCCTGCTGAGCTGTGATTCATGGACATCATCATATGATCTCCCATGCCTCCTGCACATGAGCAGAAAACAGTGTAATTTAGAAACAGACAAGCAGCAAAACTCTCATAGCAGTTTTGTTACTTAGATGTAATGTCCTCTAATTAAAAATAAACAATGTTATGAGACTGGTTGTTTTAATCTAATGCAGGACTTCTTATAAACTGACAAACTCCTTTATAAATTAAATAAGTATGTGCAATATGGGTTCCTAGCGGAACAAAACCTGCATGGATATTTTGCCTGCTGGCGAAAGCACATACATACTACACACACACAACCCTGCTGGTGCGCTTAAATCTCCAAAAAGCTTCCCTCTTTGTGCCAAAGCAAATAACGCCCAGGTTTAAAATTACAGGTCAACATACGCGGGGGGCATTTTTTGATCGAGAAAAATCTAAACTAAAACGCCGCTTTTTAAATCCCACCTATAATGCACGCCAGCTGAGGTGGATATCTCTTAGATTTTCTCGCACGTAAGGTTGCAACAAAGAACACTGACATCATGCAACATCTCCCCTACAGCTGAATCACCACAAAACCCAACGAGGCGTGCAAATACAATTAAACACATGGTTCTGTTTTTGTGTTTTATTCATACTTAGGCTACCGCATCTAAATACTAAATTTGTTGAAATGTTTGTATTCGACATTGCAGAATGATATATTTCCGTTTTGTTATGATCGACTTTGAAACAAGGGAACGCAAACAATGGAGCAGCAGCACGAGTCCCTGAGACCAACAAACAGCGAAAAAAAAAACAATTTCTCCAACAAATCAATCCGGCCACTAAATTAAACTAACCACATATATCACTCACCCGTATCCGCTGCGTTTTCTCAAAGTTGCGCGACTTCAGTTTTCCTGTGCGAGGCAAAGCTCCTTCGGATTACAGGACGTATTCCTCGGGGTTACGCTTCATGCTCAAAGCGGGGACGGTGCGCACAAAGACTACTGCATCAGATCTTGAAACGACTGCCTATTTTCTGGGTCAACTCAGGGATTATGTACATCTAAAAAGCTCAGAGGAAGGCAAGTCAGAGGGGAGGTGGAGCCTCGGCGCTGGCGCTTCTTTGTTCCTATTGGCCCTACTTGATATAATTGTGCATGGGCGTAGAGAGAAAAAAGGGGCCGTTGGAGAGTTGGGAAACAGTAGTCAATTTAAATACCATCCACCTCACTCTTTCTTTCTAGAGATCATTGTTTGCACACACACACACACACAGACACAAATAAATAGATAGATAGATAGATAGATAGATAGATAGATAGATAGATAGATAGATAGATAGATAGATAGATAGATAGATAGATAGATAGATAGATAGATAGATAGATAGATAGATAGATAGATAGATAGATAGATAGATAGATAGATAGATAGATAGATAGATAGATAGATAGATAGATAGATAGATAGATAGATAGATAGATAGATAGATAGATAGATAGATAGATAGATAGATAGATAGATAGATAGATAGATAGATAGATAGATAGATAGATAGATAGATAGATAGATAGATAGATAGATAGATAGATAGATAGATAGATAGATAGATAGATAGATAGATCAAACAAATATTAATATCTTACAAAGAGAAGCTTATGCAGAATGTTTTCAAATATGAACTAAAGGAGAAAAAACAACCCAGGCTTATGTGTAAAAGTGATTGACCTCACCCACAATCATCTTTTTTAATTTATGAATTACCAATAAGTTTTTTGTTTTAGTTTTTTTAGAGGGATAGGAGTTTGTTCCTTTTAGTAGTAAGACCAGGGTCTGATTACTGCTAGATCTATGGCATCAAGAAATAAATGAAGCAGGCTAAAACATTTTTAAACAACACTAAATTAAACAAATAATGAACAGGCTTCTATCATTCTGGAAAGGGTTAAAAACTGTCTTTAAGACTTTGGAAACCACAGTCAAGGTAATCAGCCACCAATTGGCAAAACAAATGTCCATTGTTAGTGGTGATTGGCTAATCTACAAAAATCCTTCAGAGTGCAACAACACCACAAAAGAACATGGAAAAACATCTGGAACAATGGCCCCTTGGATTATTCCAATGCCAAAGCCACATGTGGATCAAGAAGAACCTGAACATTTGTCAAAAACTTCTTGACGGTCACCACTATGGGCAAAATATCTGCTAGATTGATAAGTCAAAAATTTAACATTTTTAAAGTGTGCCATTAATCTGGTGTAAAACTAATGGTTCCAGAAAAATAACATTATGCCTACAGTCGGAGAGTTAATCAGAAGGCTATAGGGGTGACTGTGGCTTTGTGGGTAGAATAGTTGTCTTTTAATCAGAAATCGGAAAATTGTAGGTTCAAATCCAGGTTCCTCCTGCCACATGTCGATGTGCCGCTGGGCAAAGCACTCAACACCAAATTACCTACCTGAGAACTACACATTGTGTAAAACCGTGTGTGTTTATGAGTGCAAATGGATGAATGTGACTCTACTACAAAACGCTTGGCTTGAGAGATCAAAATGATTGGAAAAGCGCTATATAAGTTCAGTCCTTTTACAGCCAAACATGGTGGTGGTAATGTGATTGTCTTGGCCTGCTTTGCTTTTTCAAGTTCTAGACAAACTACAAAACACAAATTCCACTGGTTTATTGATTTATTATCTTATGCTGCCTTTGGGTTTAACCTTAGATTAATCTAAACTCCTTCATAGAGATATAACAAATACACTAGCAGCTATTGCTGCCAAAGGTGGTGCATACAGTTGATAGATGTAAATAATTGGAAAACTACATTTTGCTTTTAAAAGGCGTATTTTTTTCTGAAGCTAGATTTTGATCTAAAACATTATTCACAATGTGATAGATAGATAAATAGATAGATAGATAGATAGATAGATAGATAGATAGATAGATAGATAGATAGATAGATAGATAGATAGATAGATAGATAGATAGATAGATAGATAGATAGATAGATAGATAGATAGATAGATAGATAGATAGATAGATAGATAGATAGATAGATAGATAGATAGATAGATTTGTCAAACAAATATTAATCTTACAAAGAGAAGCTTATGAATAATGATTCCAAATATAAATATTCATGCTTTATTCTTTTCATTACACGTGTTTACATTGCAAGCTTGTTGCCCTTGTGAGCGTATTCACACTTCATCTCTAAGATCCATGAGATCCCTGTTAGTACATGTGACCCAGCAGTCTGCTGGCTGGCTGCAGAGGGAGGGCAGAGGAATGTTGCCTCTGTGCTATTCTAAGCCACTCAGGCTGCAAGCTGCAGTGTAACCACAGCCACTCGTGGATGTTCACTTGCCTCATTCTTAGTGTTTTTCGTGACTCAAGATGCATACGTGTGTTTTTCAACATGTCTGAGCATGTGCGTTGGTGTGTGTCTGCACATCCACTCCTCATATCCACTTGTGTCTTGATTGCTCACTTTAGGACAATGACCCTTCTCTTGCAGTTGCAAGTGAATGAAAGCACTTTTGGTTGAAACAACCTGGTCTATTCTAAGGTTAATTTGTCCATAAACGAGCCGCTACAGGCACAGGTTTGTCATTGTGTGACATTGTCCGGTTAACTACTGTTGTAGTAAGCCACTCCCAGGTGTGGAGACTGTCTGAGAAAATCACCCAACCAGGCAGTGCAAACAAAAACACAGAATTAACATAAGTTTCTGGTAAGCCTTATTCATTCATTCTTTGAGTCAAGAAAAATGGGACTGCAAAAGACTTCTGGCAATAAAACAATAAACCTTGCATCAAATAGTAATTTTCTTCAACTGAGTCACATCATTACATCAGTTTAAAATAGAGGTGTAACAATATATTTAGCTCACACGAGAGGATGCATAATACTCTATTCATTAGAACAATACACTGTATTTTGATGGGAACAGAATCTCCTTTGTTTCACAGAGGAAGCTTTTCAGAAATCAAAAATTGTTATCACTGAAGAACTGTCCAAACCAAGCTTGACCAGTCCATATTTAGCCGTTTCCTATGGTTTTCACATTCTAATGTGGTCCCGATCCTAAAAGAAAACTTCAACATGTTAGTTTTGCACCAACAGAAAGCTCCAAAGTATATGCCATACCAATTTTAGCATAGTTATCCAGTTTCAGTTTTCTCACAGTGCTTATAAACAAGTTTGGTTCAGCATGGTATGAAGCCCTAAGCAGACTTTCTGTATAGGGGACTAAAGATGATCAGATTCTTGGTGCAAGTCATAAAACCAGTGGGATTTGCAAATTGTTGCAGTGCTAACGACCCTTAACAGTGCAGGCTGAGAAAATGTATTTCCCTTTGTTTTGTGCATTGGAACACAAGAGAAGGATCTACACAAATAGAGATTATGTGCCACTGGTTGGTAAAATGCAGACAGTCAGAATTATAAATAAACCATTCATACCTGCAAAATTTATTACATTTTACATGTGTAGCAACTACACTGAGCTCAGTAGGCATTCTAACATTATGGCTGCTGTGCAACCTCTGACTTTACCAGTGGAAACTCTGAGCTCAGTAGGCATTCTTGCCATATTTCTGACTGGGGGAAGGGTTAAGAAATAAATTGTTTTGTTCATAAGTATCTACGTGAAAATACATATTTGTGTAAAATCCCAATGGGTGAGGATTGTGGCATTCTAGGAAATGTGTCATTTGTGACTTGGGTTATAGTCAGCAAAAGATTAAATGTTGCCCTACCCTTTTTACATGTCTTGGTATGTTTCATGGATTTATTCTCTCTCAATGCAGTCAGTGTTTTTAGGGAGAAGCGATTTCGCAAACATTCCCTTCAGCCTTTTATTGATTTCTGGCTTTCTGTTAGGGAGTATAGGTGTGGCTGCATGTTGGCAACAAGAAACACAAGTGCCAGAATGTTTGTGTGATGGTAGGCAGAAATAGGCAGACAGCTGAGAGACACCTCTGTGCTGCACTGTAAAACCAAAGGAAAATGAACTGAAAAACTTCATGACACCTTCTAAAACAAAAATAATGACTTGCATTGTATTAACATATTTTAATTCTCTTATAACAATCCTTTTTTTTCTCTGTGAAAGGGGCATATCATGTATTTTCCAGGCACATAATGTTGTTACTTAGCACAATCACATAACTAGGTTACCATCAGTTGCTATAAAATGCTTTATGTATCAAACATGGTTAAAATGCATTTGACTTTATAAGTTAATGCCTTGAATTTGGGCTTCTGTCTCTGCAAGAAGGTCATGCTCTTTCCACCATGCTCCCTCACCATGTCATCACAACATTGCTCCTCCATTAATCCTTTGAAGCTTTGTACTAAAAACAGTTCGGGAACTGTTTGGGAGCCATTTCAGAGCCGAAAGAGCCGTCTTTGGGACCAATGCCACAAAATTTGGCTCTCTGAAAAGAGCCTAATTTTCCATCAGTTTATTATCATGTCCAGCCTCATATTTTAACTAAACTTGTCAAAAATGAATGTTTTGCATGATAAGTCTTCCTCATTCAGAAAAGCCTGAAAAGCCTTCAATTAGGGAAGGATTGTTTAATTTTATGTGTTTATTCCATTATGGTATATTTTAAGAATATTTTAATCAAACTTTTGAAATGAAGAAAACACTGCAAAAAATCTCCCAGACATGGAACTAATTATATATGAAACGACATCCTCAAACTACATCCAGACTCAAACTGCTTTACGGGGTTTTGTGACACACTCTCTTTCTCACTGCTGTATATTGACAGAGGGGATATTCTCACCAAACTGTCATGGTAGCTGATTCTTCAATTACTATTAGAACTGCACTTTCCTCTCCATAACTGTGAGGTGACACAGTACAACATGATTACTTTCTGAAGCCATGACTACAAAAATTTTAAATATGACAACTTGCATGTTGGGCTCGTAAACACAGAATGCACTTTTAATGTATTATAAAACAACACAATGCATGATAACACCATTAGGGAGAGAAACCCGATTTTATTGTTAAAAATACACTTTAC